CACTTTCAATTTCTATATACCCACTACATGTGGGTCATTATATCTCCATAACTGATGATTATTGATCAGAAATCTCATTGTGTAAAAATGTTATGAGAGCACCAAAGGTAAACCCTACAATGTAGTTGCGTTGTCAATATAAAAGGTATTAATTCAAAAATAGCGGGGCATTTGATATAATCCATATCACCTAGCCCTAATCTAAAGGTTTTGAAATGCACACTTTTTTGAGGTAATAATTTGAATATGTCTGCTGCTGATTATGAAACATTTAATTATAAGATGGCATTGAACATACAAAATAGCCACCATCGGCCTGCCAAATGCTGGTTTATTTGCGGCAAGTAATTTTGCTTTACTAGTATGGTCAGATTATCAGAATCAGAAATACTTAATTGACTGGGAACATTTTAGTCACACTGAAAAAACTGAAACGTTGACTTTAATTAAATATATACATTAGGTTAGTTGAAAGCAATAATACTGGGTTCAAATTAACATTATTGCTTTCAACTAACTTAATAGAGTTTTGTGAAATGTGTTGATATAATAAATGTAATTTATGTAAAACAGACCCCAAACCCAACCCCCCCCCTGGCTGTTATCTAACTGATAAGTCAGCCTGCCCTGCTGAACTGTCCCCCACCCTGCTGTGCGCTCCACACACACACTGCTGCTGTACGCTCCACACACACTCTCTGCTTCACAGACAGGTAAGTGAGCAGCACCTGCTACCACACAACAAACTGACACTATCTCTGGCGTGTGCTTATTAACCGATGTTTGTAGACAACGTGGTTGCTGATCACGAAATATCTGAATGTCAATGCTTTTATTTCTTACATTCTTTAATGAGTCTTTAAGCGTTTGACAAGAATGTGTGAAGTAGAAATGTACTTTTTAGGTGAAACAATAAAACAACTCCCTTCATGGTTTAGAGGACAGCTATAGTTTGGAAATAGCTGACCTTTTCAGTCATTTAAAGACTGTCAATATTTAACTAAAAACAATTCATAACCCTAAAAGAGCCTCAATTGTCAGCTAAACCTAAAATAATGTTTGTACACAAAGCGGTCCAGTTGTTTCTACAGAGTTTGTACCTGACAGCAAAACAATATAGGCTGGCCTGTACTGCTAGCTCTGCATTAGCAATAGAAGAGAGGACAAAGCAGGAACCGTGTTGAGCCAACAGAGCTTTAGAAACCACCCACAGGCTTTACTGTGGGACTCTCTGCTGCACTCTGCACATGCCGGACAGACACGTGGCCTTCAACCCTGGAAGCACCACAAACAAAATGACATGTTTCAAACCTGATGAATTAAAGCCACCATGTGGAGATTTGATTATGAACAGATGCTCCAAATACCATCAATCAACACATTACACTTTATGCAAGGGTAAAGCATGGGCCAAGGAAAAAACAAATACATTTAAAGCGTATCCAAACCATGGGACGCATACACAAATACATTTTCAATTTCATTAACATGATGTGATATATCATTTCACACAAAAATTCACATGCTACGCAGAAGTAAATACAAATAATTAAAATGTGTTCCACCTTTGATAACACTTTAATGCATCAATATTTATAATCAAAACATATCATATATATTATTCTGAATTGACCAATCTGCAGAATGACAATATGTTGATACTAATATGTTTTTACTTTAGTAAAAGTACAAAAGTACTTTAATACTTTTAATTGAGTAACATTTTGATTGCAGGACTTTTACTAACAGAGTATTCATACACTCTGGTATTTCTACTTTTTTAAGATCCGAGTACTCCTCCTCTGTTTCCCTTCAAGCCCGGCAGGTGTTTGACTGCACTGCTGCAGCCCATGGTGTATTTTGGCAGCTAAATAGTGATTGTTTTTGTTTAATCCGTGATGTTTGATAGATTATAGTTAAACCGAATTAAAGGGTGCTCTCTGCTCTGTTGGACAGTGCTCTTAGTTGCGGTTTTCAGATTAACAGTCTTTACTAAAAGGCTAGTGAAAATAAAATAGAGTGATTTTTCAAAGAGGTTCAATGTAGCGCGCTTTCTTATGCTAGTCATCCTGGTGCTGATCCGATTCATACATACAACACAAGAAGTCACTTAAGAAAACTATAGCACAAACAAATGTTAGACAACAGGCTACTTTATAATTAAAGTAAATTAAAATACTACCCAGAAGCTCGCAACATAAGTAATAGCTAGCTGAACAGGCTAATAACAGCTACATGGAGTTATCTACACAAACACTTAGCTAACCAACTAGCCATGCTTTCGTGTTAATAAAGCCACTGGGATTCCTGGGTAACTTCATATTAGAGGATGAGTTTAAGTAAATAAAAGTTATGCATGTTGCTTGCAGAACTTTACCCCATTCATGCAGATCCAGCCTCCCGCAAAACTGACATGCAACTACGGCGAGGCTGGAGGACCAAAACTGACAGAGAGCGACTGTCACACAAAACGCGAACTATAACAACTACAGCACGGTGTAACAGCCGCTGTGTAACAATCGTTATAAAAACTTAAAGAGGAAGCTTTGAATAGCATGTTTGCAGATAGATGTGTAAACCAGAGCTTGTATTCAGTGCTGACAACTGGTTTAATAATTCCCTCTCAAAGTGAATTGTAATTATTTTTGAAAAGAGTGAGACATGTAAAATAACTAAGTACATTTACTCAAGTAGGCTACTGTATCTAAGTCCCTTAGAGGTACTTGTACTTTAATTGAGTATTTCCATTTTTTGCTACTTTGTACTTCTACTCCGTTACAATTCAGAGGTAAATGGTGTACTTTTACTCCACTACATGTATTTAATACCTTTAGTTACTTTACAGAGGTGGATGAATGATGTGAAATATAACCAAGTGTTAAATCAGACTTTAGTTTCACCTGGAGTAAATTCACAAGCTACCCTGCAGTATACAAAGTCATTCAAACTAGCTGCACCTTTACCAGCTTTGAGAACACTTTCATGATCAATCATTATAAAACATATCATATGTATTATTCTGAAATGGACCAATCTGCACAATGGCTACTTTTACTCTTGGTACTTGGTAAGTATATTTAGTGCTAATACTTTTCTACTTTTACTTGAGTAACATTTTGAATGCAGGACTTTTACTCACAACAGAGTATTACACTCTGATACTTCTACTTGTACTCAAGTACAAGATCTGAGTATACTTCTCCCAGCTCTGGTGGCTTCTCCTCTCAGGAGCTGTAATGTCGTCCGTATTCATTCTATGGTACTCATCATCTGTTCCCAAGGGGGTTAATTGCTACCCATATTAAAATAAAAGTATTATCACTATTTAGAAGTTTATCTATAAGGTTACTCCTGTCACATTTTTAAGGGTGACCTGATCAGATGGTAACAATATAGGCTAGTTCTACAGTATACAATGGTTATTTTTAAATTCCCATTACAAAGATTTTGGGGGGTTTTGATTGTGCATGCTGCTGCCCCTAAAGCTTAAAGATTTGAAGTTTAAAAGTAAGAGGCTCATTACAATACATGAAGAAAGTCAGAATAATGTGAAGTTAACCCTTGCATCACCCTGTTAAATGTTTCCTATAAAAATGACAGTCTTTGTGTACAAAATCTTGTAAAAGTTGCAAAGTTATGTTTCAGCTTTCTTTGTTGAAAGTCAGGTGTTGCCAAATGTACAATTTAAATCACACAATTTGCACGGTGTCGGTGTTTGACTGCTTTAAACGGAAACATCTTGTTAACACTGTTAAACATGCTTTATTTGCCGGTTTTCCCTTGGGACATGAATGCAACATAATTACAGGATAGTTCTTCCCAGCTCATTGGAGGACTGTGTGTCTGCTCTTCACTTATTGGCTCTTCCCGTCTCGTGCTCTGTCTGAAGCCCCAGCGTGTACACCAAGCTGCGCGTGCGCTTTCCAACTCAGCATCGTTAAGTTTGCCGAATTGACGCAAGGAAATACCGGAAACAGCAACATTTTACATACAATATAAAATAATCGACAGAAGAAAATAATATTATTTATTGAGTAGATTGTCAGGTAATAAAGTTGTACTTAATGTTGATTTCTGTTGTTGGTGTCGTTAAACAAAATTCAGAGGGGATAGCAATAAAGAATATAAACCGTTTTGTAAAGTATATGATCCTCCTAACCACAACTGGTTCTGTTAGCAGATTCATATCTTTGTCTAGTGTGTTTGAGAGCGGTCCCTGATAGACATGGGCAAAGAGCAGATTTTATATTACAGCCGTTTCACATATGCAGCTACAAGATCCATATCTGTGTCACATGACATGAATACCATTTATTGTAAATAAACGTTATAGCACAGCAGACCAGCAAACAAGGCCAAACAACTTATTTTGTGTTTTACAGGTTTTCCCCTTTGACATTAAACACCTAGGGCCGATGAATGTCTTTACTCACTCAATCTGATGATTAAGTATTGAGAATCACAGACAACCAGTCTTCCCACGTTCTCACACTACACTGTAACAATGTGATGTGAAGTTGCTGTATTCTGTAGGCTGATTGGGATATTATTAAGAAGCAACATTTATCAATTCAACCAAATATGGCTTACAATAATAGCTGAATACATTTCCCACCAGATTAAAAAAGGAACCCCTTCCCATTCCCAACATTTAGAGCATCATGTTTGTAATTAAACCTACCTACCTACCTACCTACCTACCTACCTACCTACCTACCTACCTACCTACCTACCTACCTACCTACCTACCTACCTACCTACCTACCTACCTACCTACCTACCTACCTACCTACAGTAAATAAAATAAAATACAAACACCATGTCCCTTCACGGAGAAATGGAAGAACAGATTCGAAGATCTGATATTTAGGGCGGCACACTGAGAAGGGCCGCACTGCAGGGGTTTTATTTTGAAAGTCCACAGCGGAAGTGCTGCCGGTTATTCTCGTTAATTGACAGCCGGCAAGGCTTTGCAAGTCTTGAGTGAGTGTGCCTTCAGTCAGGAGATGCCATGTCCGCCGTCACAGGCAGACTGTACTCACCTCTCCTCTCATTTAGAACTCATTCTCCATGAAATAACAGTAACACGGGGCCTCCAGGATGGCCAACTCGGTGAGTAACCAGTCGGGAGATTAGCTTTTCAGCCCGGTACCATTGGATCATCTTTTTTGGACATTTTGCTGTTTGGTCTCCCCGGAGGAGTCGGTGGTTTTACTCCGGAACGAGGATTTAAGCCCTGCAGCTAGCAAGAGCCACTGCGTGCTGAATGACCAGTGTAATGCAGAAACCTGCCAGTTTAATGTGCTGCTCCTTACCTGCAGAAATGCGTTTGATAATTTCCGAAAAGCATTTTCCAATTAGGGTTGTCCGTCCTACAATTCGGCATAATGTTACACCCGAAACGTAGCACTTTAATTGGGTAAAATGACAACTTTCTTGAGGCTTTTAGTTATTTCATTACTTTTTAAAGCCATGTAACGGTCACTTTACCACTTTGTAGAAAACTACGGGAGCAATTTTAACAAATATGAAGATTTTGGAAATGGTAACTAGGCTACTTAATGAGTGGTTTATATATTAAATATGTAAATGTGTGCTTAAACTTATAATCAAACGGCATGCTCATGCAGGTGTGTAATTTAGTCAATCCAAAACAAATGTAATTAAATGATCAGATTGTTGAATGGAGTCTGCATGAGGTTCTCCTGCAGGAGGAAGACATGCAGACAGAGGGAGAGTACTCAGATCAGAAGTACCAGAGAGTAGGAATACTCTGTACAAGTCCTGCATTCTAAATGTTACTCAAGTAAAAGTAGAAAAGTATTAGCATCAAAATATAGTGAAAGTAGCGACAGTAAAAGTAGTCATTGTGCAGATTGGTCCATTTCAGAATAATATATATGATATGTTTTATAATGATTGATCATGAAAGTGTTCTCAAAGCTGGTAAAGGTGCAGCTAGTTTGAATGACTTTGTATACTACAGCTTGTGAATTTACTCCAGGTGGAACTAAAGTCTGATTTAACACTTGATTATATTTCACATCATTCATCCACATCTGTAAAGTAACTAAAGGGATTACATACATGTAGTGGAGTAAAGGTACACCATTTACCTCTGAATTGTTTTGGAGTAGAAGTACAAAGTAGCATGCAATGTAGTATCTCAAAATGTTACTTAAGAACAGTACTTGAGTAAATGTACTTAATGAATTCCCACCTTTGTGTTAATGTATGCCAAAGCCTATAATTAAACAGCATGCTCATGCAGGTGTGTTTTTGTGTGTAGGGTTTAAAAATGTAATTCAATGATCAGATGAAATGGAGTTAGCATGACATTCCCCTGCAGGAGGAACACATGCAGGCCACTGACTGTATAATATACTGGAAAAGTGAAAGCAGCATCAAGTCATAGAAGTGTTGATTTGAACCCCGATCTTTCATCGTAAAGATTCTGGGCTACACATTCTTACATACTAAGTCCGTAATAGTGTGCATCTTTTGTGTGTACTTTTCTGGATTTGAGTAGTAGTTTTGATTTGCAGGGTGCTGTTCAGGTGAAACTAGAACTCGGTCACCGTGCCCAGGTCAGGAAGAAACCCACCGTGGAAGGCTTCACCCACGACTGGATGGTGTTTGTCCGCGGCCCGGAGCAGAGCAACATCCAGCACTTTGTGGAGAAAGTGGTTTTTCACCTGCACGAAAGCTTCCCCAAACCAAAAAGAGGTAAGACACCTTTTACTCCTGCTGTATTGGTCCCTCGGGATGTTACACCTTCTACTATTTCTACCAGGCAGCTTGGTTTCTGATTTTATGACAGAAATAGGTATTGGGCATCCACAGTGCTCATGTTGAAAATAATGCATTTCCTTCTTTTAAGTGTCCTGTCGTGTACTAGAAGAGAGTTGTTTTGAAATCTATGAGCAGAAATAGCTGTCCATGTTGTCCATTTGCAAATCATTTGTCACAAATACTGACAAATAACATAACTTAATGTGTGACTGAGAATATGGAAATGGAACATTGGAAATATTTTTGCACAAATGCATGTAATTGTGTTTTGTTGTCTGTTTGACAACTGACATCTTACAGTTTCTTCTATATGTCATTTGGAATGTATGAGTTGGTTTGAAACATTTGATGAGTCAGACGAACCCTTATGTGAGCACGGCTTGATTTGGGTCCTGTGAAGGAAATCATTGATGGGTATGATGTGTGTTGGTTTTGGTTGGTTGCAAGCACAAACATGCCAGTGATCCTGAAACAGGCATATTGCAAAATGGGAAGAGTAAGGTTAGACTGTGCATTATGAACGTGTGCAGTCTCCCAACATGCTCTGCGATGCACCCATAGGCTACTAAAGCTACTAGAACACTGCGATAATGCCAACATTGCCGGTTATTGCATGCTGTGTCCAGTTTTAAACATGTCGAACATCAAACCCTGACATCTGAGCAGCTGAACACAGCAACATCTCAGCTTGTTGGCCTGAAAACATATTTCAATCGTTTGTATCAAAATAGTTGTAGATCAGTTCTCTTTTGATCGATTCATTGAATTATGGATGAATAACTGCTGCTTTGAATGATGATAAATAATGTGGCATCTGAATCAATATGTGTATGGGCATTTCTTTAATCAGTGTATTCTGAGTGATCTCACGCTGTATTCTGATTGGTTGGTGTGCAGAGATGAAGTCACATGTGTGAATTTGGTCCAACATTTCTTCCTCGGTCAGATTTGTAAAGCCAGCTGTCTGGTTTCTGAAGCTCTGAGTCGGCTTCAGTAGCTGTTTCTCACTCTGCCGTGTCTCCGGAGCGACGGCCAATCACTGCTCATGTTTCTGTCCTAAAGTCCCTCAGTGTGTAAGGGCCCTCTGCAGACCATCATGCAGGGTGTGTGTCCCATAAAGGAGTCCTAGTGCAGCATCTGGCCAGGAAGGGATCAAACATCATATGTTCTGCTTCAAGATTTTTGACCCCCCTTCAGCCTTTTGTAAGTTTAAGGGCTTTGTTTATGAGACGAACGCTTGGCATCAGTCCAAGGTTAATTCCTCTTGTTGCTCCACATGTGATTATATAGGAGTCAGGTTTCACATAAACATTTGATTTATAGACTTCACCCTATGAAATAATATTGTGGCTAACTCTATGTAGATTAGGAGCAATACAGTGTACATTAGTGCTGTTGAGGAAAAACACAAGTCAGTATGACCACCACTAGCAACAGCTTGTTGACATTAATGAATGTAGGGCTGTGATATTTATTGTCATATCCAACAATCTGTTCTCAATTCATGTAGTGTTTTTGCTCTAACTGTATCCATGAGTTTCTTACCTAATAGAACTTGCTGCAAAAAAAAACATTAGATCACTTTAGTGAAGAGTTATGTTGTCTGTATATATGTTGTCATATTTTCCTATGATTAGTAATCATTTATCACAATGCCAAGATTCAATCAGGGAATACATGACCTTAATCGTAATATAAATACAGAAAATACAAATGTGCCTGTTTTTGTTGTTTACAACATTTGTTGAGTAAGATAATCCCAAGATAGTGGAAGATATAACAAGCTCTGCAAATGAGAACAAATCCTTTTTTTGCTTAAAATAATTATAATCTTTTGCTATTTTTTCTTAAATCTTATCATCATATTAAATGCAATGACTCTCCATAGTGCTTTTTCTGCAGGAGGCCAGCAACACAGATCCTTCTCTTTACAAAACACTGGCTAAAATAGTTTTGCCATGAACCATAAAAGATCACTAGACTCTTACTGTATTTTCAAACTTTTGCGTCGTAGATATAAAGGCAAAATTCTCCAACGTGATTTATTTGTTCAACATCTAAAAGTTATATTTCTGAGAAGGTGGAAACCCCTGAAGGGACTGAAGTCAGAATGTGTCAAGTACAGATATGACTTTAATTAATCATCAGTTTAAAAATGATGGACTGTGATGCGTTTTAAAAGAAGACATGTTTTGAGACGTTGCATACAGAAACTTGGACACTTAATGCAGCCTTCAAGCTGAGTATACATCAAATCTGCTGATATAGAACATTCAAAGTTCGCCTTAAGGGTCTCCTTTCATGCAAAATGCACTTTTCGATGTCTTTTATACATAAATATGTGTCCCCGGTTTGTAAGGAGACTCACAAAGTGTCAAAAAACAAAACCCTCTCTCTTTTCCTCCGTACCCACATCTCTAAAAACGGGGCTACAACGGAGCTGATCCAGATTTGTGTCCAATATGACGTAATATCTGAAATGTGGGCTGGCTTTACACCCACGGCCCTATCAGAAACGTTGCTATCAGAAACATTGCGCAACGTGTTTTGGACGTAATATAGTCTTTGTTTACATTAGCAAGCACCGCTAACACTCAGAGCTAACGATGTACTGGAGAGAGTATGTGTGAAGAAGCAGGAAACAATAAAAGGAACTCACCTTGTAGTAAACCCGAGAGAGAAAAAGAGTTTGAGCTCCATACTGCTTCAGAAATAATCCTTGATGTGGTTTGGAACATGATATGGCGTTTCATCAAGGCAGCGTTTAGCTGTATCTGCCGGAGCTCACAGTGTGCCTGCGTGTTCCAAAGGGGGCGGGGCCAGCAGCTACTGACCCGGAATCAGCACTTTAGTAACAGGGCTGAAGCAGAGCGATATGAAGGATGTCTAAAATGCATGATCTGTTTGGTATTTTGAGCAAAACACATCATAGACATGTTTTTTTTATATTTGTATATATCTGAGACCCATAATATATGCCTAAAAATAGCATGATAGGAGATCTTTAAAAGCCTTTGAACACAACAGACCAGATGAGGTTTGGTTCTGCCCCCTCCTCCCTCCACCTGTTGTGGTCCAGTCCTGATAGATGTGATGTGGGGCTGAAGACCAGAACCTTACGCCCAGCAGGAGAATACCTAACCTTCATAAGTCTCACGCCATGACACAACAGATCTCTCCAGTGTGTGAAGTCTGGGTGACAAAGTGCTTCCTGCTCTTTTGGCTCTTCAGATGTTCTCAAGTGTATATAGTTGAGCTGCTTAAGTGTTGTTATAGATCAGAGAGAAATACTGGAGGAAATGACAATGAAGAAATGATTTCCCCAAGGGCACAAACAAAGTACTTTAAAGTCCACTTGTTCTCCACCTGATTGAGAATAAAGTATTTTAAGATAAAATTGACCTTTTTATATACCCTTAGATTATTTGACATTCATATCATATTATTTTAAGTCCAGGTGTTTTGTGAGGGATAATGTAAAGGGAGCAGGTCATCATTTTTAAATGACCCTCACTGAAAAAACTGAAAACTGACTTTAATTAAATGTACTGTATGTCACATAAATATTAGGTTAGTTGAAAGCAATAATATTAAGTTTAAATAGCAGTAAAAAGACAAGGGTTCAACTTTAATATTATTGCTTTCAACCAACCTAATAGTTATTTGGTGACATAATACATTTAATTAAAGTAAACGTTTCAGTTTTTCAGTGCATACAGAGTAATGCTATCCATCGCAGCGTTCTGCTATGAAGAACTGATAGGCCGTAGAAAGCTGTAATTGACCAATCAGTATTGAATATCAACAAAGCCATGAAATAATTAGTGAGAAGTCAAAGTGTTTTGCAAAGTGTACCTCAGTGCTTTGTTTTCTCTGCTGAACACATAGAGGGTTATTTCTTTCAAACTCAAATGTGGCATTTAGTCAAATGTAGGTAGCGAGTATTATGATAACAGCAGAGATTCAGAATCCTACAGTATGTCCAGATGAAGGTTGAGGTGTAGTGCCATTTTTTTATTTCAGATTAAATAAATAGACAATAGAAATTGAATGAATAAACCTCTTAATTGTGAGGAGCTGCTGTTTTTTCTTTGTCATTTGTTTGAACAAAGCAGAAATATCTCTGGTTCTAGAGCGTTGGTTGGACAAACAAGAGACTTGAAAATGTCGTATTTTAATTCAAAAATGTTTCTGATATTCAAAGGACTGCTACGATTTGACTCGTTAGATCATGGAGTCCCTTGACAAACTGCAAAACATTCAGCCAATCAAATAAGAGGATTTGCTGCTTCTCTTTGTCATGTATGACGATGATTTGAACATCCTTGGGTATATGACTGTTGGTCAGACAGAAGAAGCTCGTGGAAGACTTCATTGTGGGCGATATTGTGAATTGCATTTCTTTCACACTTTCTTCACATTTGATAAACTAAACAATTAATCAAAAAAACATTCATATTAATCAATAACCACTACAATCATAAGATGCAACTCTAGTTTTTCTAGTTGCTACAGCTAGTGATGAAGGCTGTTTTTAATCAAAGATTCAAAGTATTTCATTTTTTTCTTGCCTTGCTTCATCTAAAAAATCTGAGAATTTGCAATAATTAGCTGGGTTTAGACAATGCTTCACATTTCCCCAAACACCACCTTCCTAATGATGTTTTGTTCGTAAACCCGCAGACATTCAGTGCACACATACGGAGAGCAAAGAGAAGCAATGAACCCCCTAATCATTGAGAAGCTGGAGCCTGAAGATGTTTGGCAGTTTTGCTTGATAAATGATTTCTATTATTATGAGATTATTGAACTGTTGACTATTAATTATCCTTTGTTTATTCATCAACCATTTCTTTCAGCATTCATATGGTTTTGTTGTCAATGAATCTAATTTGAGCACCTAGTAGTTGATGAAATTGAATTTACATGACCAA